GAAGATAAAGAAGATCATGAAATTCTAAAGTTATTAACGTCAAAAAGAGAAGAAACTAACAATTTATACACTTCTAGAAGCCAAGAAGGATATTAAAAGGTTTTAATTAAAAAACATCTTGAAGCCGATGATGAAAAGTTTCGTGGCTTTTTTCGACTCAATAAAGAGCAATCTGATTTTGTTTTAACCCTTATTTTTGAAGATGTAAAGAAGCAGTTCACAAATAGTGTACAAATTCCAATTTCCCCGAAGAAAAAACTTGCTTTAACACTAAGGTGAGTAGAAAATTTTGAGTAAGGTAAGTGAGCTAACTATTGAAACTTATGTAAAATTTACTTCTTAAAAATCTATTGAGTTGGTAGTATTAAAACCATGGCAATAGTGAGCACACCTACCATACATTAGTTTTATGCAAAATTTATAATTTTATTATAACTCTAGTTTTAAATCATAAATTTAGAGAAGTATTGTATATGATTGTCCAGAGGGAGATGTTGGTTCTACCAAATGTAAAATCGATCAATTTTCTGCTTGAACCGATGTCGATGGTAGTGACGTCTGAGATAACGTCATAATACTTGGACTTTCAGTAGACCCAGAAGACATTTCAAGGTTACTGACCACAGTTAATATCTCTATTTTCGATTTTGTTATCTGATGAGGAGGTAGTTTTTTAATAGTTAGAGCAATTCTTTTCATGAACAAATCGATTTCATCGTCCTCTCTCTGTTTACTTATTAAATGCGACAGCATTTTCGTGCGTTGGTTAGACTGTTCTTCCAAGTTATGTATTAATTTAACTTTTTTTGACTTTTAAGTCCGGGGGGCTAAGCTTTGAGAGCAAAGATCATCTGACGACTGAAAATGATTTAAAAATATTAACTTTTAAAGAAATTAAAATAATATGCATACCTTCTTTCCGATTTCACAAGCTCTAAAAATTTTAAGTGTTCAAATAAGTGCCATTTTGGTCACTGCGTGGATGCTGCACTACCAGTCCCCAGCTTTAACTTCCTCTTGTGTTTCAAATACTTATCACGAATGTGTTTTCACCGTGATTTGCAGTCTTCAGCTGTAAAAATATAAATATTATTTTTTAATAATAATGTTAAAATTTCTTCATGTAACACAGGGTTGGGAAAAACATAAAAAACATAAAAAAACATAATTTTTTGTATTAAACTCTTTTTTGTTTTAAACTGTTAAAAACATTTCTTGAAAAAACATTTTTTAACATGTTTAAAACATATTTAAAACATTTTTTTTTTACTTAATTTTAGTCTATTTTTCAAAAAGAGGTAAAAAGCATGTATAAAAAGTTACTATTTTAAATAGTTTAAAGTAACTCTGTTTTTGACACCATTATCTGTATTAAACATGTATAAAACAATTGTTTTAAACATTTTGTTTCAAACATGCCAACTTCGATCTAACACTATTTTTCCGTGATTATTTTAATTCTTTTTTTTTGGCTACAGGAGAAACATTCAGATCACTTTCGTTCGCTTTTCGTATATCCCCAAGCTACATTTCAATTATTGTACGAGATACAATAGAAGCAAAGAATGTACGCCTAGTTCCAATATTTCTACCACCACCAAATGAAATTAACTTAAAAGAAAATGCAATGGAATTCTATAATAAGTGGCACTTTCCTAACTGTGTCGCAGGAGTTGATGGTAAACATATTCGCATTATTTGTCCTAAGAAAAGTGGATCACTATTTTTCAACTACAAGGATTATTTTTCCATCGTTCTTCTTGCATGGTAGATGCAAACTGCAAATTTTTAAGTGTTGATATTGGGGCATATGGCAGTTTATATATATATAGATATAAGGCATTGTAATAAACTGCCTAGTATAAAAATTTTAAATAATAGAAATTTTTCACTTTCTAATAAACCTGGAGCCTTACACAGTAAATGATTTTATACAATATAATAGATAATTTTAAGTAACTTTATATTGATGTTTGAGCTTGACGTTTTTTATATTATATTTCTTTGTATCTTTCCTTATACTATGTAGATGTTTTATAAAATAAATAAATATTATTATTATTATTACGTTTACAATTAGCCTGGGCGGGCTTGGTCAGTGCCTGAGCACAATTTAGCGTGCGCAAAATTGGTCTCAGGCACTGAGCGAGCCTACCTCGCTTTAATCGGAATTTATTTAATTTGATTATGATAGAGGTTAGAAGTAAACTAGACGGAACACCCTGTATATATATATATATATATATATACAGTGTTGGCCATAATTTTTGCAACCACTGTAAAAAAATCTAACTCTAAACGCTTTTAATATTCTTTATGCAATTTTGGATAAAAATACTTTAACTTATATCTGAGTTTACGTGTTCGAGGGTTTTGTACAAATCAAATGATCAGCAACAAAGATACAGCGATTCAAAGTCGTCAAAAATGACCACTTTTCAGCAAAATAATTAAAAAGGGGCCATTTTTACCGAGCTCTGTATCTTCGTTACTGTTAAAATTTTCAGGGTATACTAACAAAAATACGGTCTTTAACAGCATATTTTTTATTTACTTAAAAAAATTACCCTAAAAGTTATTTTTCGAACGTTTTTTCATTATTAAATAAAAGGGCTTTAAAAATATTTTCTCGAAAAACCCTCGAACACGTAAACTGAGATATAAGTTGAAGTATTTTTATCCAAAATTTCATAAAGAATAATAAAGGCGTTTTAGAGTTAGATTTTTTTTACAGGGGTTGCAAAAGTTATGGCCAACACTGTATATATATATATATATATATAGGGTGTTCCGTCTAGTTTACTTCTAACCTCTATCATAATCAAATTAAATATTTGCCAAGCGAAGTGGTTGCAAAAATTATGGCCAACACTGTTTATATATATATATATATATATATATATATATATATATATATATATATATATATATAGATTAGGGTGTCCCTTATTTTTATTTTTTTTACGCATACCCTCTAATTATATTTATTATTTGTTTACATACTCCCAGTAAAAATTTCAGCTCATTCTATAAACGGGAACCCGTGCCGACTTGCATCTAAACCGTCCCTTAGCCAACGTTAGGCGCGAGCGGTATTTTGTAGCACGAAACACTTTAAAAAGAAGATATACTTCATGACTGTATTTTTCTAATGATTTTATTAAATATGATTACTAATTATTATTATTGCTTTTGTTTCTATCATTTTTTTTTATTTATTTACAAATTGGACTGCATCAACCTCCAAGGGTTATTAGCAGTATACATATACAAACATAGATTTATTAGATTTTATTAAATATATTTATTGATCTTAGAAAGTCCAGGGTTTTTTCAATTTGCGTGCCCAAAGCCATCTCCAAACTATCCGGGATGTGGTGCAGTGATCTTTTGCTATTATATTTCGGACAATCTAAAATTATATGGGATACGCTTAGGGCAGTGTTACATTCTTCGCAAAGGCTGATAGGTTCGTTTTTGAAGATGAAGCTATGCGTGATGGCAGTATGACCGATTCTAAGGCGATTTGCTACTATTTGGTTTTTTCGACCTGGAGGAGTTGATAATTCTTGTCCGATTTGTGTTTTAACTGCTTTTAGCTTGCTGTTATTTGTTGCCCAAAGTTCTTGCCATTTTTCATTTACAAAATTTTTGATTAGGGTGATGTGGTCTTTGTGTGGAATTTTTTTAATTGAAGGTGTTTCGATTTCTTTTGCTGTTGCTGCTGCCAAACGATCAGCTTCTTCGTTACCTTCGATGCCAACATGTGAGGGAACCCAGAGAAATTTTATTTTATTGTACTGATTCTTTTGCATTTCTTCCTTTATGGTTTAAAGGATTGGATGTTGTGGGTACACTTGTTTGATTCCCAGTAAGGTGCTTAATGAATCGCTTATAATCAAGAATTTACCTTCTGGTTGGAGCATATCTTTATGGCTTCTATCTAGGATTGCGATCATTTCTCCGGTAAATATACTGCAGTATTGGGGGATTTTGGTGGATTTTTTAATTCCATCTCCAGCAACAGCAGTGGCTTGTCCAGTTTTAGTTTTGGCAGCATCTGTAAAGATTAGTATGGTATTTGGGAATTTTGTAATTAGGGAGCGATAGGTGTTGTGAATAATTGTTGGATGTGTTGAGTGCTTAGGATATTTTGTAAGGGCTGTATTTAATAATGGTATTGGGATAGTCCATGGGGGGTAATTTAAAGCTGGTTTTAAGGAAAGTTTAAATTGATTTAAATTAAAGTTTGTACGGCGTAGTCTTTCATAGAAGGGAACTTTACTCGAGGATATATTGTTAAATAGGTCGTAATAGGTATTTGGGAAGGCAGCCTGGTATGCGAGGTTTGTTGGGTTTATGGATAATCTAGACGCATATTTTAGTGTGTTCATTTGTCGTCGAATTTCCGGTGGCAGTTCGTGAGCTAGAACATATAGGCTCTCAACTGGGCTTGTTCTAAGAAGAAGAGAAGGCACATGTTGAGGCAATTTGAGAGACAAAGGCTCTATTGTTTTCATAAAAAAATAACAATGGTGTTTCTATTGTTCTATTGTTAAAGTGATTTAGACATGACATTTTGACAAAAGCCGCGCATATATCAGGACGTGTGAGTAATGTTTTCTATTGTCAACAATGGTCCTGGCTTTATTGTTCTATTGTTAAAGTAATTTAAGTATGACAGGTTTATTGATTAAAAGCTTGGGAGGCATATCTCAGAGCGTGAGAGTCCCTAAATTTGGTAAAATATGTTAACAAAGGTTTTTTTTATTATTAGGGATTTAAAAAGCACAGGTGTAACACACGTAGCCGACAAGACTAGACTCGTTTTATTTAAATATAAATTATATTTTAATTTTATTCAGTCTTTTTAAAACATTTGGTGGTTAAACATAAGAATGGATTTATCTTTTCAGCATCCATTCTGCGCTCTTGTAAGTGGCCCAACATCTTGCGGGAAGACGGTATTTACTTTAAATTTTATAAAAAATATTAAAGAAATGTGCAATGTTTCATTTAAAAGTATAATATGGTATTACGATGAGTGGCAACCCGGCTACGAAAATAAATTAAATATTAAATACACGCAGGGCTTACCAAACATGAGCGATTTTAACGGTTCCGAACCAACTTTAATTATAATAGACGACCTAATGAAAGAAGCGGGTGGTGCAATTGTGGATATATTTACAAAGGGAAGTCATCATAGAAATTTAAGCGTATTTTACATAACACAAAATCTTTTTCATCAAGGAAAAGGTCAGAGAGATATTTCATTAAATGCCCACTATATAATTTATTTTAAAAACCCTAGAGATAAAGCGCAGATTTCACATTTAGCAAGACAAGTATACCCTGAAAATTCCCGATTTATTCAAGACGCATATTATGATGCAACGACTCGAGCTCACGGATATTTAGTACTTGATTTAAAGCAAAATACACCTGAATCTCTTAGAATTAGAACAAATATATTACCCAGTGAATATCCTACAATAGTTTATGTTCCTAAAAAGGGAAGTAAACACGAATCATATGCTGAATATTGTATTAACCCTGTGTAGTTATGTCAACCATCTTAAACCAAGTTAAAACCTGTTACAAATATTTTAATATAAAAGAGTATCGTATAAACTAAAACATCAGTTGTACCTGTAAACTTTAAAAAAGGTGTGTGCTAAAGTCTTAGCTTAAACATGAATATTGATTTTACCAAAATGCGTAATAAATGGTCCCAAGTGTTTTGTGATACACAAAGGTTTAAAAATAATTTTAATACAAACAAAAAAATTAAACCGAGTAGTGCTAAAATAGATGAGAAATGCAATAATATTCAAAAACACATAGAATATTTAAAGAACATGGATAATAAGGTTGATAAATCTTTAAATAGATTTCCAACAAGACAGGAAATACTACACGATTTTAAAAAGAGGGAAAATATTAAAGAGTGGATTGAATATAAGGAAAATTTGGAAAAATATAGCCGTATTTATGGAGAACATTATGAAGCATGTCCCTGGTCACTAAGCGATGCTGAAGATGGCCCCGATACATGCGGCTGTCATAATTTAAGATCATAATTTTTAAATTTATATATCTGTATTTTATTGTATTAAATGTTTTGTAATTACTTATAAATAAATTTTGTTTAAAAATATTATGTTTTTAAATTAAAAATCCATTCATTTTAAAGCAGGTTTACATATAAAAGAGGAAGGAGAGGGGTAATATACTATATATATTACAACGTATTTTTTTAAAATAAATCATTTGACCGCTTTGACATGTGGTGTAAAGTTTAGACAAGATTCAACAGGTTTTTATTTAAATACAGAATTTAATTTAAAAAAATAACAAATAATATTATATATACTTTTTTATTTAAAATATAAGTTACTTTTTTTAAACTATCGTAATGAAAATTTGTTTTGCGTAGATTTTATTTAAATATAACTTATATTTTTAATTTTATTTATTCTTATGGCAGCCTAGTTATACAGAAAATAAATTAAAAACATGGTAAATTGATTGTGACTTTTTTTTAAACGCAACTAATTAAAAACGCGCATTTTAATTTAAAAAAATAACAAATAATATAGGTACTTTTTTATTTAAAATATAAGTTACCTTTTTAAACTATAGTAATGAAAATTGGTTTTGAGTAGATTTTATTTAAATATACCTAACTTATATTTTTTTATTTGTATTCATAAACATAAAATGGATATTTCCGTTTTTGTGGGATTGGTCCAATCTCATGTAGAAAAAACAGTACCTAACGACCCTAAACATTACAATGCACTATCTGGGGTGGTTTCTTAGTTTTTGCGGCCAAATAAATATGCCAGATTAATTAGATATAGGTGATAAGGGCGACATGCATACCTCTGTACCTGTTTAGGCCCCAGGGTAGAAAATAAAATTGATAACGAATGTCTTAAAATAAATCGGTCGTAATGAGCCAAAATTGATACTTTTCGTGATTTAAATAAACTTAATACTGAATTTCAATTAAATAATGCAAAAATAAATAATTTAAATATTAATAGGGATTATGTTTCAAAAAATATTTTTAATGAATTTTATAATTCTAAACGGGGGCCTTTACGCACAGTTTGTTCAAAAAATATACATTAAAAAATAATTTAAATTTTATAAAACCAGAATTAGTTTATTTAGGCAATAATTCAAAATTCTTTTACATTTTAATATTTGAAACAATAAAAACGATCCTATATTTAATATGGTTTTTTACCCAAAAAAAAATAATAGAGATTTTTGTAAAAATAATGCTATCTTTAACTGCATTAAAAATAATTATATATCAAGATGCTTTTGAGGTATGTAACACATTGGGATCGTCTAGATTAAAACATATAATAATTGGTGTGTATTTTGTATTAGGAAACATTCCTCCATGGTATAGGACCATAATTAGGTTTTAATGTTATACTAAAAAGGGTTATAAAAGATATTTCTGTTTTAGAAACAGAGGGTATTAAAGCAAGAAAAAATATAATAGTTAAAGGTATAATTTTATACTCTTTAGGAGATAACTTAGGAAGTCATTCTTTGGGTGGCTTTGCCGAAAGCTTTTCTTTAGTAAACAATTTTTGAAGGACTTGTTACATTTCAAAAAATGATCCCTATTCAACTTCTTACAATAGAAAAACATTATTTAGAAAGAAAGAAAAATTCTATTTTAAACACATTTGTAACCATGGTCTTCCCCATATGACTTAATATTATGTATAAAAAAATTAGTTCAACAAAACATATTTTCATTTTTAACTTTAAATTCTTTGCTTAAAAATCTTATGTTTATTAATGAAAAAAATATTATTTTCCAATTTTAAATGAAAAAAGTAAACGATTGCTGGGAACTGCATCACAAAATATGAACTTATTAATGTTACTTCCTTTTGCCGTAGAAATTATAATACCTTAAGGGAAAACAAAATTTGGCACATGATTATAAAATTAAGAAGTATTTGTAAAATATTATTAGCTTTTGAGTTATCCATAGAACAACTTGGTATTTTACGTTCACTAATATTTAAATACCTGGAAGATCGACAATGTTCCGAATCTCTTAACCCCAAACACCATTTTTTAAGTCCCAATCCGTATTTTATTATTATTTTAAAAAACTGTTAAACACACAACAAATTTTAAAAATATTTTATTTACATTAACAAATAATCATCAACTTTTACAAACCTTAAATTTTAACAGTGACACTTTATACTACGAAAATGTTTTATTTGACGAAATCCATTTATTTAATAATGATTTTGCTCCTGAAATATTAACAAACAAAGATTTTAATGTCTCACAGACTTATATATCGTGGCATAGAATATAAAAACAGGTTCAGATATTTGTTATAATAAAAATCAAAACGGTAATTTTCTTTTATGTAAAATAAAATATATTATTTTAAAAGACAATTTTAAAGAACCATATTTTTTCGGAACTGAAATTGAAATTATAAAAAAAATTCTGATACTGGGTTATATTTTTTAGCCAATATTGGTAAATGTGTTTTTGTGGAATTTAGTCAACTTTTATGTTATGACCCATTAATAGAGAATTTAGAAAATAAGTATTATTTTAAATCGGCACCTTACGATGATTTATTTCAGTAATTAGTATATTAATTACTTAAATGTAAAATTCTTTTGTGAGTGGGTAAAAAGGAATAGGTTAAAATTGATATTTTACGTAAAATGTTTAAAGATTCTTCGCCCGCTCACAAAGGGTTTAATGGTTAACTTTATTGTAATAGTAATAAATTGTAATAAACCAAGCTTTTTTTATTAAAATTAAACTTTGTAGAGTAGTTGTCAATTACACTGCTAAAAAATAATTCTTAACTAATTGGCAATTCTCTTTAGAGCACACACCATATGTTTTTAAGTTTAATTTTTATTATTTATTTGTAATAAATTAATTTTAAAAAATTACTTTTTTACACATCTATACCTTTTCAACTTCAAATTGGAACTAATCAATTTCAATTTGGAATGTAACAATTTCAAATTGGGATTAATCAACTTTTAATTGGTAACTAACACGTTTAAAATGGGAATAAACAAAGTCAAATTGGAAACAAACAAATTCAATTTGGTACTAATCAACTTTAAATTGGAATTTTCACTGAAATTGTAATTCAAATTCTCATACGTTTTGCAAGTCGAACGGCAGTCACGTTTAAACTTTATATTAAATTAATTGAAATGCCTTAAGCCCAGGGCTGGGTACGAATAATAGTAATATTATCAAAAAAAATAGAGAAATATATGGACATAGTGCGTTTTTATTAAACTTAATATTGAAAAAAGTATTATAATATGGATAATAGATGCTTTCATACCTTCACTGTTCAAAATCAAGCCTTTTGAAATACCTAATCAGAATTAGTTAAGGAAAAATAAGGTAATATGCTTAAACGACTAAAGCAATTTATCTTCTTGTTTATTAGGCAGAAACGAATGCCTTAGTTCTATGGTGTATTTACTAACTTTTAGATAAATATTCATACTTTACTTAATAAACTTGTCAAATTTAAAAAGATAGGCAGATTACCCAAATATTTAGTCAAAATCTCAATTACTTTTAGGTACGACAATTTTGCTTTTAATTTAGGTAATTCTTCTAAATTATTATGGCAAATTATTGAACTAATTTAGGTAAATTCTACAATAATAAACAAACAGAACAGGTTAACACAACGCAATAACAATAATTTGAACACTGAAAAGTTATTCGAACGCAAAAATAGAGCAAGTTAACATCCAACAGCATCGCAAAAACAAAAATTTTAGCAGCAGATAATTAAAACGCACGTTAAAGATTTAAAAACACTCAACAAGTGACGTATACGTCACTATATATATTTAAGCCCCGCCCAACATGAGCACCATTCTATCTTAAGGTGTATGTATCTTGCCTTAAGCCGGTCACAGACCTGTTGAGCGATTTCATTCGTTACAATTTACAATTTCAGTAAAAATTCCAATTTGAACTTGATTAGTACCAAATTAAATTTGTTTGTTTCCAATTTGACTTTGTTTATTTCCATTTTGAACGGGTAAGTTACCAATTAAAAGTTGATTAATCCAATTTTGAAATTGTTACAATCCAAATTGAAATTGATTAGTTCCAATTTGAAGTTGAAAAGGTATAGTAATTACATTTTAAATTTTCAAATATTTTCTTATAAAATATTTTTTTTATACATAATACATTTTATATACATATATGCGTACTTGTTATGTGATTTAGAAAAATTGAACTAAAATGGAAAGAATGGCCTATAAAATATGGAATCAAGAGAGATCCAAAAAGATTTGCCTGATTTTAAAGAAGGAAATAGCAAATCTTTATGAAACAATCATACTTGAAGGTAAGTTTTTTAGCTTTTTATTGTAAAGGATTTATTTATCCAGTAAAATTATAAATAAAAATTTGTTCATTGGTATACCATCAAAACGTTTACCTAAACTTTTGGATGATTTGGGTAAATAATAATACCCAATTTAAATAAATAAATATAGCT